TTTTAATTTTTTGCGGAACCAGGGATTGAACTCAGATCCTTGCATTTGCCAGTCAAGCGCTTATCCTACTGAGCCATCTCCTCGGCCTCACTACCATTATATTGCCAGCCCTTTATATTATAAGACAAAGTCTCACTAAGTTCCCCAGACTGACCTTGAGTTGAAGATCCTCCTGCCTCTGCTTCCCAAGTAGCTGAAATTGCAGATAGGCTGCCCATGCTCCTGGCTCATAACTTTTATATAAGGTTTTTGCAAATGTTTTCTTAAATTTGTTGTCAGATACATTATAGTCTTTGTTGTCATTGTACAAGGACATTTCTGAAAATGACATTTTTGTATTGTTTGCTATTGCAATATTAAAGAATAACTAATGCATGTGTAATATTTGGCAACTAGATCAAATTCTTAACTTTAATTAGTTTTCAGCTTTTTGTGAAAATCGTATTTTCTAAGAAAAATGGCAGTTTTGGTTTTTATTCCAATCTTACATTTTTTCCTTCTCCTATCAGATGTCTAGGATATTATTGAGTAGAAATCTTGTTCTTGATTTTATTTTATTTTATTTTATTTTTTTTGCGGAACTGGGGATTGAACTCAGGCCCTTGCCCTTGCTAGGCAAGCACTTACTCTACTGAGCCATCTGCCCAGCCCCCATTGTTCCTGATTTTAAAGGGAATGTGTCTAACACTTTACATTAAGTACAGTTTTTATTGTAAGGTTTTGATAGCCTTTTTTTTTTTTTTTTTTTTTTTTGTATATTTAGGGAAGGACCTAAAGGGTATTTAGGGTCTCACTACTAGATCAGACTCATAGTGGTCCACCTCTTTACAGCCTCCCAAGAGCTGGGATTACAGGTGTGGGCCACCATGCCCTGTCTCAATCTCAGTCTCAGCATGCCCCGGAGATGGGGCGTCAGGGATCTAACACCCCCCTCAGCCTTTTTGTTTTCCATAATTTTATTGAGGAACAAATAGCAATGAGACAGTTTCAAATCAAATTGATAGGACAATTTCAATAATTAACACATTGCATATATTCTTCCTAGTGGTTATTTGCTGCACAAGATACGGACATGATATCCTATTTACAAACACTATTAGAACAAATCCTTCCATTCATTAAGAGAATGTAACTGTATATCTATCCTAACCATTTTGAATACACAGATACAAAATGGACATTCATCTGTATCCCCTTTTTTGTTTAGTTCCGT